CAAGTGAGGCCACATTTTCCTTCTCTCCTCCTCACCACCTTTTTAACTTTCCTCTTCTCCATCCTCACATTCCCACCCCTATTTTTAATTTCTCTATGATTTATCTTGATGGAACCAAACAAAGGAAAGCTAATTTGCAATTGTGGTTTGGTTTTCCTTGAAAATATGTTTTTCCTAAAAACTAATTCTTCATTAAAAGTGTTTTACATCAAACCAAACGGGGCGTTACTATTCATGATAATAAGATGGGTCGAGAATGCAGAGTGGTGTTTTTCCATAAATTTGGGTTATGCCTAATCATTAATATATTATTTTGCCTTGATTATACTAATATGTTTTACACTTTTACTTTACCATTTTTTGATTACCCATTCAATTTTTAATGGATGTTAGGTTATAAAAATTTAAATATTTGGGTTGATTTGAAAACCAACTCACACTTCTTTCTTTTTCATGCAACACACCTTCATGGCATGTAATTTAAGTAGGTGGTTAGAGAAGATAAACAAACGGTTTATCAAAGTAATTTTAACATCAGAAATAGGGAAGAGTTAGGTACTATATGTGTAAATCTTTTTTTTTTTTTTTTAAAGAACATGTGTGAAAATCATTTTAATGAATTTGTCCATTTAGATTTCTAAATCTATTTCCTAAAGTGCATGCTTTAAGACTGTCCGTTTAATTTTCACTTAAAAGGTGAGGAATAACACATGTAAATTTATCAGTAATTATAATTTCATGTGTTGCTAAATGCTTTACTCGTAGAACAAATCAATGAAAGCAACTAGGGTTATATGTTGTGGACCTACTAAAGTTTTTAACATGAATTTAAAATAAGATCTTAACACTTTTAAGTCCCTTAGATAAAAATTAGAGCACTATTAGACGGATGAAGGCTAAAAGCCCAATAACATTGTCCGATAAGTCCCACGGTGGCCACAGAGAAGGGTCAAACATTTGACCTCGTCGTGCGAAATCTTGTACCAATGCTAAATTTGCGTGTAGCCTTTCATAGAAGTGTATTATTCTTTCTTCCATAAATGTTAAAATCTTTAGAGCTTTAGGCTATGTTTTCTATGAGTTTAGTTTTCTTTTTTCTTTTTTTCTTTTTTTTTTCCAAATGAAGTAAGATAAGATTAGAAAAAATCTCCAGTTTAATTCAGTTCAATGATAATTTTAGTTCATTAAAAATAATTTTAATTCGTTAAAAAAAAAAATTAATCAATATAAATCAGTAATTACAAAGAACGAATACTCCCGTTATTTTTTAATAAGTGTTCTGCTTGGACTTTCAAGAAATCCTAGGAGAAAGAGTTGAATCCATTAATTTATTATTCAAGTGAGGTATGTTGAAAAATAAAACAGGAAAACACATTGGTGGGTTATTGTGGGGAGGAAAAAGGGTGAAGATTATTTAAAATGAAATTGCATTGGTGGGGGGCATTAGTGTGGAGGAAGAATTAAAATATATTACAACTTTCCGAAAATAGGAATGAGGTACTTATTAAACAATAGTTGAGAATGGGAAATGCAACAATTATTTAAAACGGAGTGGGTATAATAGAGAATCAATAAAAAAAAATATTGGTTTATTAGTTAAAGTTCAGTAAAAATTATTTAAGTTAAAAAACAAGTGAAGATAGCAAAGCCTTACATTGTTTAAGCCTTGTTCTTTTCTTCTTATACGGATCATATTCAATAACAATAATTTAATTAAATAAAATTTCACTTTTGTAAAAATAAGATTTAATCAATAAAAATTGGTAACTTCAAATATTAATAAAATAAATAAATAAATATTTAAAATCAATAAAAATAATTCAAGTTCAAAAAAATAATTCAATTTCAACAATGCTAATTTTAGCTTAGAGAAATTTCAATTAAGCAAATATAAGGTAAAAAGAACAAAGTCTTAAGGAGTATTATTTATTTATTTATACACTCTTGTTTGATAATGCCTCTAATAATTTGAGTCATTATTAACTCTAACCATCTTTGTGATACCAACAAAACATTTTTCATTTATTGTAGGAAATTTTGACTTTTACCACAAACCAAAAAAAAAATAAAAAAAAAGAAATTATTTTTTGTCACCAAAACTTCTAAAAGTTTTATTTTACCAACAAATAAAAATCAAAAATTATTTTTCATCACTTGCCGTCAAAATAATCATTAAATCAAACGAAAATAAAAAAATTCTTCGATTTTTTGTGCCAAAAAATGCTCTTTAATGTGTTTGAGAGCCATTTTAGCCCTTTTGAATCCGATTTGAGGTCAGAATTGACAAAAAAAATATCGCAAATGCATCGTATTGCCTATTAAAAAATACCTCAATTTGCGTAACACATGCAAAACGATTTGGGTTTTATGCAGCTTAAAATTAAGCTTCCTAAATTAAGCCTTGGCCTAAAATGGGCCACCTTTTTTTTCGGCCGAAGCTAAGTTCACCCGTGATCATCTCTAAAATTTTGTAATGCTAAGGCCTTGTTCTATTCACCTTAATTTTGATAAATTGAATTATTTATAATGAATTGGAATTCTTTTTTTTGAACTTAAATTATTTTTACAAAATGGAAATTACTTTGTTGGTTAAAACTCATTTTACAGATTCACTATGATTTGCTTTTAAAAGTAACTGATTTCTACTGAAGTGAAATTATTTTTGTTGAACTGCGCTTATTATTTATTGAATTGGGATTATGTTTATTGAACTGAAATTAAATTGACAAATATAATATTATTTTATAAGGTGAAGTAAACATGGTCAAAATATTCTGAAGCGCAAAAATTTTCAAATAATACTCCCTTCATTGTTTTAAATACCTTATTGGGACTTTTTGCATTATTCACTTGACCCACTTTGACCAATGTTGTTGAATTATACCTAAGAAAAATGAAAGACTTGTGAGTACTTGTTAAAATCATTTCAATGAATACATTATTAAATTTCAATTGTTATAATTTATAATTATTGGTAATTAAAGATATTATCGGTCAAAGCTCTGCATCAACATATCTATAAAGATCCAATGGGAGACTTAAAAAAATAGAGAAAGTGTCGTCTTATCGTCATAATAAGCACACATTGTATGTGAATTGGGCTAAACGTAAAGAAAAAGGGTATAGGATCACATATTTTTAGCGGCTCGCAAAAATGAACTCACAAGAATAAGAGAGTTTTACACAAATTTTCTCCACGAATATTTGTGTAATGAAAAAAATAGGTAGTACTCTAGACATAAAGCTCCCATATAAATGCAATTCCCTTAATTCCATTACGTGCAAGATAATAACGAGAGATGATACCACTCATACTCTCATTCTAGTGTAGTACTGTACTTGGTATTTGTAAATTTAAAGAATCATCTTGTTAATACTGTCTTTTTATAAAGTTCCCAAAGAGAGAAGAGTTAGTGATTGATTACTTATTAATTAATGGTTAATTAATATTGGGAACCAGGTCATGCCAAGAGTGGCAGCGAATACGTGGGTCCTACCACATTGAGATTCTGCATAAAAAATAAAAAGCATAGTCAACCATGTCCACTACATAACAACCGTAGGATTACATTGGGGTGATCCAACGATTGAGTGAAGAGCTACCGATTATACAGGTTTCCTGAATCCATGACCCAAAGTTTTTTAAAGTTGGTCAACAGTTTTGGAGAATAGAAAATTAATGACTCAACGTGAACGCCACTTTTTTCTGGTCAGCTTACTTTAATTATTTTACTTTCTTTTTATTTTTTCTATTTTTTATTTTTTATTCTTAATTTAGGCTTTTATTTATATTATTTTTCTTTTGTGCATATAGTTTAGGTCAGTGAAAGATCTTTCAAGGCTTAGCCCTAAAGCCCGTCAAGAAGAAAGAAAAAAAGAAAAAAAAAAGTCCAGCCCTAAGAATTTTGTTAACCCAAACTTAGTTAATCCTAAAGAAACCTGTTAACGTAATTCATGTTGACCGAATCACGTATATCTATGTGTTTATCCCATCTATATTTTACTCTATTTCTCAAATTTACTTTTTATATATTGTTGTCTATGTTCCGCACATATCAAACACATAACCTAATTCAATCGATACTCGTCTATATTTCCTAACAATTATATTTTTTTCAACACGAAATTACAAAACAAAGTCAAAGCTTTGTGTATAGGGCATAAATTCAAATTGGGTCATCAAATGTGGAATAAAGGAAGTATACCATATGTAACTACTCCATAATTCAAAAGTAAAAGGAGCAAATTATCCTTTTCCCAATTCAATATACATAATCTAATTAAAGTAAAAGTTACGCATGATTAAACATTACCTTTAAATTCAAATTTCGTTACAGAAATACTTTCTATGTTTATTTAGTCGACACATTATGACTAAGAATTATTCACACACTTTCCTTTTATTGTGCTTTGTGATTTATATGTAATGAAAAATATAGTTATGTGAAATCTTATTAGATTCATCACGATACATATTTTTAAAATATCAATTTTTAAATTTTTTTGGTTATTGATAATTAAAGATATTAATAATGAAATGCATGCATTGATAAACGTGACTAAAGAAACGTATTAAATAATTAAAAAATAATAATTTGTATTAAAAAAAAAAAGTTAAAAGGAACAAATGCTTCAAAACTTCGAGAAGACTTTCATAGGAAAAAATAAAAATAAAGGTTCGAGAAGACAGTGTAATTTGTCAAATTAACTGTTCTGAGTAAATAAACATATTGAAAAATTGTTGAATAAAAAAATATATATATATACATTAGTCAATAAGTGAAAATAGCGAAGCAGAGAGGCATCTACTTTTAAAAAGAGAAAAAAATCAAAATGGCAATCTCAACAATTTGACTTACAAAAGAAATAAAGTAGAGTAATAGCAATGTGGGCCCCAGCACACGGCTTTTTATGATGTGTCGGGGTGTGTGTATTACCGGCTCACCCGGTCACACCCTTTCTTCCTCCCTCTATATCTGTAATTTCTCCTCCTTCCCCCTTCTTCATTCCTTACTCTCTCTCTTTCTCCCTCCTAAATTCCCTTAGCCCAGAAATTGTTCTAAATCATCAAAAAAAAATGGAGGTTTACAATTATAGATCGAGGAAGGTGGAAGAAGAAGTAGCAATCGAAGAGGCGGCATCAGCTGGGGTGAAATCCATGGAACATTTCCTGCGCCTCTTAACACAACAACCTCAACAACAACAACAACAACAGGAATTCGAGTGTAGAGAAGCTACCGAAGCTACCGTTGGTAAGTTTAAGAGACTCATCTCTGTCCTTAATCGTACTGGTCATGCTCGTTTTCGCCGTGCTCCTACTCTTTCTCTCTCCTCTGATTCCTCCAACTCCTCTGACTCTCCTCCTTCTTCTACCTTCCAATTCACCAAACCTTCTACTCCTACACCTAATCTCACTCCTACTCCTACTCCTACTCCACCACCTGTTTGTCAACTACAACAGCCAGAAAAACCCATTCCCTTGAGGGTCATTCGTCACCACCCTGTTACTCTAGATTTCTCCAAACCTAACCCGAACCCAAACCCAAACCCGAAACAGTGTGGATCGGTTTCGAAATCGGCGTCGTTTAGCATATCATCGTCGGCGAATTCGTCGTCGTTTTTGTCTTCAATAACCGGAGAAGAAACTGTGTCAAATGGTAAGCAGTTCGGAAGCGGTGCTCGATCTATGTTTGTACCACCTTCGTCATCTGGAAAGCCTCCGCTTTCCACCTCATCGTGTTCTCATCATAACAAGAGCTGCCATCATCATCGCCACCAACACAATGAATTTTCCGATGAGATTTCCGGTAAAGCATGCGGGTCAACTCGGTGTCACTGCTCGTCAAAGCGTAAGAAGTTGAGGGTGAAAAAGACAATGAGAGTTCCGGCGATTAGTTCTAAAACCGCCGATATTCCTTCCGATGATTACTCTTGGAGAAAATACGGCCAGAAACCCGTCAAAGGATCTCCTTACCCACGGTATTATTTCTTAATCAACCTTAATTAATAAAAATATAGATATTTTTGTTTTGTTTTAAAAAACGTCAAATTGATTAGTTACTAATGATGGAAACTGGATGAACAGGGGATATTACAAGTGCAGTACAGTAAGAGGATGTCCGGCGAGGAAGCATGTAGAAAGGGCAACAGATGATCCGACGATGTTGATTGTAACTTACGAAGGAGAACACCGTCATTCTCCTACACCCGCAACACAGGATAATAGCTCACATCATCACAACTTGCCGCTGGTCCCCACCACCGCTGCACCGGCATGGTTTCAGGCTCATCACCCTATTTTGACTTTGTCTGATTAATTAATAAAGAAAAAGGAATTTAATTGATTTAAAATTTGTTGTAGTAGTGGATGTGTAAATTACTGCTATGACCAATGAGGTTAGGTTCTGTGATATAGTCAGTGTAGGGGTAAAATTGGGATAGGACAGTGAGGGTATTGATGTAAATTTGGTAAAAGACAAAAAAGAGAGACGTGAAATGAGGAGTGTGGTGGGGTTAGGTTAGTAGGTGGAAATTGGTCAATTGATTCTCAGTAATTGTAATTGTAATGGTGGGGGATGTTATTAAATGCTAAGTTTGACTTTTTTGTTCTCATCTCTATTATTCCATGTGGCATATGCGTTGAATAGTCATTGTTTTTTATTTATAACCTTCGTCCACTTATGGAATCAATTAGTCCATTTGACTTTTCACGTTTCTTGATTTGTGTCATCAATTATTGATATCTCTGAATCATTAGTCGTAAAATGTCAATAAAAAGTGTTTTAATCGTTGTAAATAATATAAAATAGATGTAGTATAATTCTTGATAATTACGTATATAAATTAGTTTGTATTTTAAAATTAAATGGGTAATTTTTTTGAGATGGTGGATATTATTTATAATGGGGGTGGATTTTTCTTTGATAGAAAGACAAGATTCGTAGCCCGTGGAATACGCCAATTCTCGAAATGAATGGACATCAATCCATTGACTCAACTCTAGTAAATACTACGTACAATTAAATGCTCTTCTCTCCATTCCATTCTTCTTTCAACTATGATACGGAGAATGATATTGATATTTATTGGCCTTTTGCAAAGTCAATATCACATTTGGTGGTTGATGACTTCAAAAGGTAAACCAAAACTATCTTACAACAATTATTGCAAATTTGTAATGTTGTACTCAATTTGTATTTTAAAGTGAAACATTTTTCTTGTGCACATATGTTAATGTAAAATTTTGACTGATAATATCTTTAAATATCAGTAAGTAAAATTATAACAGTTGAATTAAATTATTTATTGAGACTATTTCAATGAAAACCCACACAACTATATTTATTCTTATGTTTAAATCATAAACACTAGTAAAAGTGAATTAGCTCGATGAATAGTGTAAATAGTCAAAATGTTTCACTTATTTAAATACGAAGGGAGTACTTCAATAAAACAAAAATTTTATACAAATTAGCAATTATACTCTATAACATGGACAAACCCAGAGTTTAGGATAACCATTTAAAATATTTTCTAAAATAGTATTTCTTTAGTTTCAAATTAAATGACACGATTCTTTTATCATCGCATTTGCCAATGCATAAATTCAGTCGTAAATATCTCTAATTATAAAAGTTAATATTTTTAAATTCACATTAAGAAGATTCCATAAAGATCTCTGTAGACACCTGATTGTGTCTCCCCAAAAACCAAACCTAGTGATGAGTACCTTTCACGCCTTTGATTAACGAGTTCGGTGAAGAGCTGAGTCTCGTGGAAGTTCCTTAAGCCTTGACTGTGTTTCTAACCTTTCTTAAAATGTTTTAAATCAAAATTATTTATTTCATGTCCTTAAATCCAAAACCATTCATTTCGTGTATTTAGACCCAAAATAATTCATTTCGTGTCCAATTCATAAAAACGTCCAAATCAAATTATCTTGGTCTAATTATTGTTTAGTTGGATGGGGCTTGAAAAAAGCTTTGCAACGATATATTATAAGTCCAAATCCAACTTATAGCAAATAGGTTATGGCCAAAATACTAAACCAAGCCTAGGTCCACCTTACCTATGACCCAATGATCATGTGAGGGTCCAAATACCTTATTCCCAATCCTAAACCCATTAGGATTGTTTAGGAGCTTCTAGGTCTCTAGAAGATTCAAATATATCCTTTCCGAAAAAGATAAAGATCAAAAGAGTTCGAAATCGAATAAAACTTCTCTTTTAATAGTCCTTGTCCCGATCAAATTCAAAGACGCACGGATGTATTTCGTTAACCCAATTCTATTACAAATAAAACTCCGTACAGCTTAATCATCTTTGAAACCATCGCAGAAAGATAGAACCATCACGCCGCGATGGACTCTGTCGCGCCACGATACTCTTGTCGTCCCGCGATGAAACCTGTTTTATTCCGTTCGAATTCTAATCATTTCTAATCGTCCAGACTCTTTTTTTTCCCCTTACAAATACAGGTCGTTTTCCCCATTTTCAAATCAGCTGGAACCATCAATCATAAGCTATAACCACCTAGCTCCAATCATCATCATTGATCAAATCATCAAATATCCATATTCTTAGCCTTAGCCTAAATACATCCTCGATACAACCCAATCAAACATAATACCTCCTTTGCGAGATTCGAATACTCCTAGCCATATTCGACATTGCCTTCGACCTCGACGTAAAAGGTTAATAGTTCTGAGGGTTTGGTCCCAAATCTATATTTCAATTCATATTTGATTTATTTACTTTATTGATTTAACTTTCTTAAAATTTACTAACGTGTGCATTGTTTTAATAGCAAGAAGGTTGAGGCATCGAAGTGAGTAATTCAATTACCCTCTTACTTATTCTTTTGATTTTGGAGTAGAAATCATGCTTACAACGTTATTTTAATTGCCAGTATCATGTTAGAATTCTTTATGATTTCTAGTATCATGTTTAGAATAACGCTTTGATTTGATTGTTAGTGACATGCTAGGATTTGTTATTAATCCTTTTAGTATCATGCCCAGGATCTTACTATTAACAATGTTTTGATGATGATGTTATGATGATGATTGTTGTATTAATCATATGTTGCTTGATTATTCATGATTTAATACTATTGCTTGATCACGCCCCTTTTTGCAGGTTTAAAGAGAATTCGTACTTGAAATCACGCCTAATAAGATAATTAATAATTTTAATTTAGGCTTAATATGATTTAATTCAAGTGAACACCAATAATAAATTTGATTGTGCATTAATAATCAACCAACTTAGATTAAACAGGTTTAGGATTAATTTGATGTATGTATGTTGATCGAAAAACGCACATGAATATCATAAGAATTAAGTAGAGGCTTATTTAGGACGGGTTCAATCTCTTTTAGGTTGGATTTGTACCATAATCCCCGAACGTCCAGTCATGGTTCCGGACCATTATGGAGTTAGCGATCTCCGTGATCGTGAATGGGGTGTAGCCTTCACACCCGTGAACGGTTTACAAGTTTCTAAAACTTGTTGGCGACTCTTTTATCTCTAACTTCTTTTCCTTGGAATGCCGCCATGCCTAAAAGCATGAACCATAGTAGGGCTCAAAGATGAGTTTGAAAAATTTCCTACAATCTCACATGACTGTTTTTATTTATTATAAATCATAAAATCTAATTAAAGCATGTAGACTTTGTGAATAGTGTCAAAATTCAAAACGTTTCATCTAATTTGAAATGGAGGAGGTATTAATTTGGAAATATGTGCTCAAATCACGTGTCGGTAAGTGTAATTAATAATCATTTCATTTTAATATTTTACTTTTAGTTATCTTGTCCCCATGCTTTTGTCTATTCATTATAGTCAATCTAAGGTTCCAATAAATTCTCCGGTTACATTCATCGGGTTATCTCAGGATACTCACCAACCCACCATAGTTGTCGTTGATAATTTATAATATTATGACGTCCATCATTGTTGATGTTGGTTGATAATTGTGATATACTAATATAAATTTATTGAAATTCTAAAACAATATTTTTAGTAACATTATATAGTTATTCAAATTCTAAGATTTTTGCAACTGATAAAAACTCTTAAACTCTAATGACATATTCCTCAAACTATCCTATTGTTATACACTACTCCGTATTATCAATTATCCTAAGATTCTTAACACATTTAAGAAAAAAATTTAAATGACTTTTTTTGTATAAATAGTCCACAAACTACTTGTACTCGATATACTATTTGTCCAATGGCAAAACATTTATAATTTGGGTGGAACAAATCAAAGGCCCAACAAATGAAATTGAACCCAACTCATCAAAAACCAAGACTTGAGGATAAAATTGTCAAAAAAAAAAAAAAAAAATAATCAAAGAAAAGAAAAAAAGAGATGGGAATATTGACACTGCCTTCATTGGTAAGGTTAAAGGCATCAATACCATTACCAGCAAGATTGAATTTGTCTGAAAGAGAAAAAGCTCAGTGCTTCTGCAAATCTGGTTTACAAAACATTCAATTAACCGCCACCGCAACACGGCGGAGGATGAGCGCCGATGCAACTGCAAGTTCGTCGGAGACGGCGGCGGCGGAAGATGTGGTGGTCCAATACGTGGTGTTAAGGAGAGACCTGATTGACACGTGGCCTGTTGGGAGTGTGGTGACCCAAGGATGCCATGCTTCTGTTGCTGCTATTTGGGAGCACAAAGATGACCCTTCCACTCTCCTCTATTGCTCCCCTCCTGCTCTCGATTCTATGCACAAGGTATTTCTCAATTATCATTACTTTATTACCAAGTAGTTGTTTATATATCATATTTGTATATTCAATTGAAATGTTTTGGTCCGAATGAGCCGCAAGAGCATTACAAATTACAAACGAGGGAAAGGGATTTGAATCTATGATCTATCGTGTAGGGTCTTTATGTCATTGGTATATTACGAAAATTTGTCTATATATTTGTTAATAAATGTTTACATTAGCTTAGTGTTGTTGTAATAAGATTTATGAGGAGGGAATGTTAATGAGTGGTATACTTGGATGACGAACAGGTTACACTGGAAGTTAAAGGGGAGACTCAAATTGTGAATCTTTCAGAAAAGCTCAAGACTGCTGGGATTTTACACAAACTATGGATCGAGCAGCCTGAGAATTATCCAACATGCATAGCCACTAAGCCATATCCTAAATCCGTGGTATCGCCTTTTTTTAGAAAGTTAAAACTTTGTAAGTGATTGTTGTTAATCTTATAGGATATGATTACCTGTTCTGAGCTGAACTTTGAGCCATAGAATTTCTAGCTACGAGTATGAGTACTTGGCTTATTGCAAACAATTGTAAATCACATTTCTTGAGGTTTTACAAATCCACTGAATGGAGGAGTAAGGTGAAGTGACAAAAATTGAATGTGTTTTCTGAATTTAGTTGCACACAATTGTTTGGCATGTCCGCATATACATATAAATATATTACTCTGTGTATATAGATATTTGAGCTGGTTGTAGTCCTTTGCAGAGTTTGTTTACATGCAAAATAAAACTCTGTGCTTATTAGTCATTACCATAATTACTTAACATCCACCTAAGAGATGACATCACGGAATCATCTTATCCCTGGTCTTCATATGATGTGGGGAATGTGTTGCATGCCATTAAGTTCTATTCAACCATGTAAGTGCTGCACAGATCACACGTGGCGACTAAGTTAGATATTAACAGACTGATAGAAATGCATTATATACTGAGAAATGTGAGCTAGGTAATGTACTTGGTATCTTAGGATGAGGATGTTAATCTAGCCAAGGCGCCAATAGCAAGAGAGTTAATATAGGTACAGGGTTCTTCCATGTTCCCAATGTGACGCCGGTCTTCAAAATTATCACTCTTGTCTGGACCGCCTACGATGGCACCAGTGAGTTCGTTTGGGTTTGGAGCATTTTTAGTGAAATAGTCCATAAAAGTTTTAGCACAAGTCACTACTTCAGACTTTGACAAAATAGGATTTGATGCTCCCCTGTGATGTGGCTGTTGTGGAAAATTCTTTCCAAATCCTACCATGTATGACCTCTGCTGTGGATTTGCTCCCAGTATATAATCCATCTGCATGCCCCACCCATCACTTGATACGTTAGTATGACAGTAACTCTTGGGCTCATAATGAAGGTAGTCAATTTTAGATACGAGATAATTGATATGAGTACCTGTTTCTTAGCAAAAGCAAGGAGGTCAGCAGAACCAAATTGCTTGCCACCACAAATAACCTGCTGGTTGTATCTGGCAAGCAAATCACCATAGACACTGAATGCAAAAGCGGCAGCTGTAGCATATTGCAAGTTGGCTCCATCTCTCATGTAAAGCAGTCCTCCTGATGATCACCAATTATGAAAAACAGCAGCAAGGACTAACATCAGAATGCTAATAAATGTTGGGTACATTACATGATACATATGCTGTTATGCAAGGATTGACAGGATGTGAGCTATGTCTTAGTGAATATAGTAGTAATTATGGGTACCAGGAGTGAAGGGAGCTTGGGCATAAGGGCTTCCGGGGAGTACTGAACATATGTAACTATCAGCCATCTTCTTGTACTCATCCAAGGTCTGCTGCCCTTGAAAATACAGCTGCCAACAGAGGATTATCATGGCAATGATTTTTTTGTTGAAAAACAGTCAAGCTGATATTTTATTTATAATGCAATTACTGATTGTATATAGATGTATGTTGCTTTGTGACCTATAAATCCGAGGAAAATTGCAAGACTGCCTTTTATCTGCAGTGAGAACTTACTTCTGTGAGAAGAATCTGGCTTCCGGCATATTTGAGGTCCCAATTAAATTCGCTTATGGTAGCATCAATAGACTGATCCTCAATATAATGGTAGTAGGTTTGGTTCTTGGTGGCCTTGTACAGCCATGTTGCTGCCCATTGCATCTCGTCCTGCATGTACAAAGTTGGCTGCTTTACAAAGCCTGATTATCTAGAATAGAGAAATGCGTAGTCTAGACAGAGAGATAGGAGATTACATTAAAGCCAGAGAACGAGCAGTAGAAGGGGCATTCTCCATCGAAGGTTCCTTTATAGCTTCCAGCAAATCTAAAGAGCTGCACACAGGGACCAGTAGTGGATGAGGCATTGATGCACTAGGTTGATTATTAATATTTGATATCATGCATGCATTACTCGCTATATATATATATATATATATATATATATATATATATATATATATATATATATATATATATATATATATATATATATATATATATATATATATATATTTTTGTTTGAGGAATTACTCGCTATATTATCATGGGGTTGGAATTGATGATTTTGGTGACTTAGGGAATATGTGACATTTTCATGACATATTGCTACGCATCAGAGAAGCAGGAAAATTACTGATTTGGCCTTGTTGAGGAGTCGGCGAGAATATGGCTGATCAGTTTTGCGAAAGACAATGGAAGCAGCAGCCATGGCGGCAGCAGTTTCAGCAGCAATCTCAGTGCCAGGTTTATGTTCGTCAATCTGCAAGACTGGACGTTCAGATTGCATGTTCTCAGGGCGAATCCAACACTGATGATCCACCAGGGGATCTCCAACTTGCACGTATAAGCGGTTGCGTCTGGAGCTACATTTTAGGAAATAATCAGTTCCCCATCTGATAGCATCTCGGACATGTTGGAGCTCCCCTGCAGCCTGCAGCTGAGATTCATAGAAGATGGCTCCCCATGCCAGTGTTGTCACTGTGAATGCCATTGGTAACCCATACTTTACATTGTCTCCTGCATCATAGTATCCCCCTACCAGGTCCACCTACATGTATTATTGTAATGTTAAATATGAATCACTGAATTTAGTATGAAAAAAGAAGAACTTATGAATAAATTATGGTCTAATGAAAACCATCTTCTTGATAAACCCATCCTTTTAATATTTAGGGAAATATGCGTAGCTATTGAATTTCATTGTTGCTTATATATTCATTGTTGCATTTGCATATATCTTTCATTGTTTATGAGAGTCTCATGATTCAAGAGTTGATATTTTGAGTGTGTGAATGTAACTGTTTAAGGGCGAGGGGAGGAGGACGGTTAGAAAGAGAACATATGACGATAATTATATAATGATATACAGTCAATACAGACATTGGCAAGCTTGCCATCTTCGAGGCCAGAATCACCGCGCCAGGGGACCCTGTTAGTAGGAGGCAACTTTCCTGATCTTTGACATTCTAAGAAAATGATGGACTTGCTTAATGCGTCTTTGTAGTTGAATCCTTGTCCTACAGCCTTCTTGTTTAACCCACACAACAACGCCACCATTAATGCTATCCATGGCGCTATAGCTTTAGATGTAATCTTCATTTAATACCCCTAGCTGCTTACCCTGGCTTGTAAATCAAATTTCGATTGGCTCCTTAATATTTTGTTTTGAATCGAATTCAATTAATGAGCAGATTAAGTGTAAGCATATGTTGATAATTGTTTTATTTCCTTATTTTTTTTTTTTTTTTACAATTTTTCTTTCTGAAGAGAATGATTTATTAATACGAAGAATCTAATAAAAAAGGATAAAAATGAGATTTTTTTTTTTTTTTTTGAAAGGAATGGAAAAACATTGGAAAGATATGTAGGGAGAGTTACAAGGAGAGCCAACCCACTATTAACGGAGTCCTAAATTTTCTTAATGATTTAGTGTTATTAATAGAGATTTACCTATATTTTTGAGGTATCCACAGGAAGGGCAATCCTACAATTACGACCATGTCTATAATCTAGTGCACAGCTACCTTTCTCCATTTTGGGCCCTGTCAATACAAAATTAAACAGTCAAATACCGCTTACTTACATGCGTTACATCACTCATTCACTCATGCCATGCCAACAAAATCGAAGCGACCCTAAAATCTACGGTAATAACATAATTAAATCTAGGTTGTTCATGTTTGCAATGAATCTTCCGTTCATCCTATCATAAATAAAATTCATTTGGAGTCATCAAACTCATGTTTGGTTTCTCTAAGTAGGGGTAAAATTTTATTTTCCAATAGCTCTCATTTTCATAAATAATGACTGTGTTAAATATATATATACATAATATTCAATTATTATGTATTTTAGTAATATATATATTAGTAAAATACATAATAATTGAATATTAATAAATTTACTTTTTTTAAATAGCTTTTTAATTAAAAAAAAAATAAAAAAAATAAAATATCGTAAGTGTAAGCACAGCCATAGTGCCATCCCTCTACAATTCAACGAAAATCAAACATGGCATTGCCTAATTATCTATCTTCCCTTTAGATGTCCTAATTCTCACTCTTGTAATATGGAATTAAGATAACAGAGGATGTAGATTCCACTTGCAACTTATTCTCTTAAGATTTCATGTGGGAAAAATGGAGGTGTAATTACAATAGTAGCATATAAATGATTAATCTCATAATACTTAATGCAATGAAACTTAATGAAAACATATTACAAAGACTTACCTTATGTATATTTCTAAGAAAAAAAAATAAAAACTATAGCTTTTGAAATTATATCAGGCTTGATTAAAAATTAGTGGATATAATAATTTTTATGAATGTGTTGATATGGAGGTGATGCATGGATGCAGTGTGACAAATAAAGGATATCGTCTATTCAAGCCTGAATCCAAGAAGTTAATAATCTTAATATTTGATGAAGGAGCACAATGACAATGGATCTGAAATGATATATCACAAGCTCAAGGAGACATACTTCCATATGGCCCAAGTGGAGAAGAAGGCCCAATCCAGCCAGCAACACAATCACCTTCAAGTTCTTCACCAAGGTGTTCAAGCTTATCTTCTAGCTCACAAAGTTCCAAAGCTTAGCAAGTAGAATTCAAAAAGTACAACAATCACAACAACCTAAGCATGCATCCTCCATCCTACTTGCGTAAACATCAGTGTAATCATGCCATCATGACTCTCATAGCTAGTGAGCCACAAAATACTTTTCAAAATCTTTCAAACTTAAGTCAAAATTCAACAAAATAAACTCAAAGTCAAACAAAGTCAAAACAAAACGAAGTAAAGTTAAACCTCAACTTGGAATCATTGTAGGTCCTTTAAATCAACCAAATTTTCGAAAACCATTAACCGATAAAATATTCATTGGCAAATAAATTCACATAAACGAGTGGATAAGAAATCCATGATCACTCTTCGCTCAATTCCACAACATGAAAATGCTGCATTACCTGAAATGTTTCTCTTTACACTATCCCTACTAACCATAAATGGGTCATCAAAGGGCAAAAATAATGACAAGACCAAACACACACATATCACGAAATCAGCAAAGCTTAGTTATAAACATAAAGGAAATCACATAAGCATGATACATCATAGCAATGAGAAAAACATACATACAAACCAACAAACACAACTAGACTAATTCATTTGTTAATTAGATTATGCATCGAACATGTTTCCCCACTGAATTGTCCCATAAAGAGACTAACACGAGAGCTTATCATGCTAGTGTCAAAATTGGCCACTTAAAAAGTGACGAATATTTTAATTTTGCGCATAAATAAAAGGAAAATACAACATTCTTTACCCCCAGTACTACATTTTTTATCTAATGCAACCCCCAAATCCGTTGCATAAAGCACCAAAAACCGTTGTGTTAGGCCTAATGCGACAGCCCCGTACCGTTGCACCTCCTTATACCTAATGTAACGGCTTTTGGTACCTAATGCAACGGCCAATATAATCCGTCGCATTAGAGCAATACCTAATGCAACGACATCATCTATCCGTTGTCTTAGATTACTCTCTAATAAATATCATAATAATGAGACCTAATGCAACGGCTGCATATATATGTATATATATTTATTTATTGTTAGTTAGCTGTTAATTATCAATTCGTTAGTGCAAATAAAAATAAATTTTTTATCATTAAATTAATAATAATAATAAAAAAAAAGATTAGGATTTTATTAATATGAATTTAAAGTTTGTACATTATTATCTATAAGGAAATTTACAAAATTAAATTATCACTAGTTAAACTAAGAAAAAAAACAATTAAAAGTTAAAACTAAATAATTTTGTCCCCCAAACAATATTTTCAGCAATTCTTTGGGCAACATTATCATTTCTTTCTCTGCTACTCCAATTTCTCAAGTAAAGCAATTCGAGAATAATTTGGGAAGCATCTTCTTCAGTTTCAGTATCCACCTCTAGAGCACTATTTACACATATCTAATGGATCTAAATCCCCTGATAAACAAAACACAAACAAATCAAAATGGGATAATAGAAGAATCGAGCACTCAAATAAAAAACAAAAAGAAAAAAAAAAGAAGAAAGAAAGGAACTTGAAGTAAGTCAGAAACCTGCAACAAAGAAAAAAAATCTGCAACTAGGAAAAAAATCAGAGCTATCCCATTCCACCATATCGAATAACACGCAAAATAAAACTATGACAAATCAGATTATAACGGCATACTTTATTGTTTAGGGTTTAGGGGAACCTCCTGAAGTAGAATTTAAGATATCCCAAGCAGACAAGGCTTTTACAATTCATTCAATTATCTAGTTCACTGCACACAGATGAAAGAAACATACTTTCAAGCTGAGTAATTTAAAGCATTAATATAATCTTAATAAAGAGGTAGGGAAAGCTAAGGCTACAGCTAATTATGTTCTTCCTTCAGCAATATTTTTATGCATAAACTTAAGTTAACTTATAATACTAATCATACAAATCATAGGTCAAGAGACAAGTTCATCCAAATTGACCCTAATTCAACATATGCACATTTAGTATAGAATTTACTCAGCATCACACAATCAAACATATAAAGGAAATAAAAATTCCAAAATTGAATCAGAAATCAACTGAAAGAAATAAAGTCAAGCAGTTATTAAAAAACTAATCAGCTATAAGAACTACTCCGAAAACCTATGGCTACACACTCCTAGATAATGAAGACAAACAATTGAGCCTGCTCAAATGATGACGGTCTGAACTAAGGAACTTGAGGAACGGCCCCTACTTTCATTTTTGCCTCTAGTTGCTGAATCATAGGTATTGTGAACAAAGGTTACAAAGTCCATCAGCTTTGGTTACGTAATAAAAAAACAACTATTGATAGTTAAAACAAATATGAACTATTGATAAATAAACATATATAAACTGTTGATAAATAAACGAAGTATCAACTGTTGCTATATCAAACCCATATGCTTTCTTGTTTTTTTTTTTAAAAAATGTATATTCATCCCAAAAGTAAATACTTCGGCTTTGATAAGTCAATATCAATATAAGAATAATTGTTGTTTCAACATCACAAGAAAATCACAGAAATATACCGTAACACCAATAGCCTACATTCAAAAGGATTATCGAGTATGAAACAAGTCACAATTCCAAGATAACCAGATTAGTCTAGTACAATTTCTATAACTTTTTCTTTCTTATACAATCAGTTTTAAGGGGAGGAAGAATAACCTTTGAGACTTGATAATGGGAAGGTGGGCTGCAATTAGCTCACAAAACAATTTTATGATTTCTTGAGCCAATATCATATTCTCTTCTCTTATTATGTGCTCCACCCAAAATACATAATCAAATATAAGGAATGTTTTGTCTGCTTATATAAAATATATATGGGCATATCTAACAATATTCTTTCAAAGTATCGCTAATTCAAAGATTCCACTATGATTGAAAATTCATATAAATGATTTCTATTTACCATTCAATACAATACTTGTTTGACAAGTAGATCAAAATAAATGGTTGCTAACCTTATTACGGAGTAGCTCTTTGGTTTTCATTTATAAAATCAGTTGTTCCAACCTTTTCTTGCTCTGCACAGACATTTTGAACATCCACGTTCTTCATGATATCTAAACATAAGGATTTATCTCAAAGACTAATGAAACTGCAGACTTGTTGCCCTATTTACAATATAACATTGTAAAGCGTTTGATGACAGAAATATATGAATAACCTTTGTCTAGTGACTTGCTGCATATTCTCTCAATCACATATCAAATGATGACAAAATTTCATTGGCGTGTTTCGAAGGGAGGTAATTAGGGTGATACTGAGATCATAAGCAAATAACTAATGTTTAGAGAAGCAATGACAAGTAAATGATAAATATATACATCAATAAGGGTGACCTTGATGCTGTTTAGAACGTGAGCATACCGCTGGCTAACACACCCCATGAGCTATCAATCAATGTACAACTTTCACAAGCAATTAGTGGAAACCTGACATTAAGCCAAAGGAGAGAGAGAAGACTATTCTTCTAATGTAACATTAAGCTAAATTAATGGTAATGGACTGACTGTTTTTAAGAATTAGCGAATCAAACTTATTATTGACAGGTTTAGATAATGCTCACAATTAAATATGCTAATACATTTGTATCCAATACATGACATTTTATACATAATTTAGTATGCATCAGGTCAGTTATGTTGAGGCTTGAGAGAAACTCATACAGCTCTGGAATGGTTTGAAATCCGGGAAAAAAAGAGAAACAGGTTTAGAGTCACCACTTAACATCTATTGTAAATTAATTATCGACCAATTGCAATAATCTAGAAAAAATCTAATGAATAAAAAACACAAGTAATTTACCTTAGAAGCATGTTCAAGCGTTTAGCATTACCACTTTCATATCTTAATTATATTGAGAATAATCATTGAGAATAATTATTAGCGGTGTTAAGAACAACAGGTGATTAGAAAATTGAAAAAGTATTATGTGAATTAATGTCATACCACACAAGTTTTGAGAACTACAACATTTTTCATTATAAGAAAACTGAAAGGAGTTATTTTTGCTTCTTCTTCCCAATTGCTCCTCTCCGACAATTTAAACCATAGAAACTATTACGGTGTTCAAATTTTGATTGAAAAACACAGAGAAATGTAAAATTGCACCAACAAATTTAAACACTTGAGCAGTATAAAATAAAAAAAAACAAAGAGGTGAATTTGAATCTAGGGTTTTAATTTTGGGCGAAAACTTACATTATGAAAAGCTGAAAACCGGTAGAGACTGAGGGACACCATCGGATCAAAGGATACACAAATCGCTGGACGAAAATATAAAATGGACCGTCCTCGGCAGGTATATTATCTCCGGCATCGCTGCTACCGTAAAATGTCGTTCCTCTGGCTAGCTGACGCCTGACGGTGGTTGAGGAATATACTTCTAGCTACTTTCTCACATCTCTTTCTTTATCACTCCTCTAATTCAAATGCTGCTCGTAATTTTCGAATTTCGAATTTGTAAATTTGGGTGAGGAAGAGAACTAATTTCTTTTAATTTCTTTTTACAGCTATTTTTTTTTTTTTTTTTTAAGGAAGATAACAGCTAGTTGATTATGATTATTACTCGTATGAACTATGAAGGATAGATAAATTAAGTGGGCCTTTTATTGGATGGGTTTTTTAGGAAAATGTGAAGGCTTTTAATTTTGGGGCAAATTTAGGAGGGATTATTTTACGCGCCTATATTTTAATGATTAGATTTCCCTATTACAACGGTTACCTCTTAGTCGTTGCATTAGACCCTTCTATAGAGAAAGTATGAAGCAGTCGTTGCGATAGATCTAGCTATTACAACGGCTATCTATGTAGTCGTTGCATTAGCCATATTTTAGCCGTTGCATTTGATTAAAAATGTAGTAGTGCCCCAATAAAATTCATGGTTAAAAAATAAAACCCCTATTTTCTATAATTACCATAATTGTTATAAGAAAAAAAAAATTGGTTTTAATAATCTCAACTTTGAGCTATTTGCTTTTAATAATTCCAAAGTCGTATTATTATTTAATAATCCGAATTTATAAGACATTTGCTTTTATTGGACCCAAGTGACCTGTAACCTATTAAAGAGGTAATTTTTTTGTTTAATGAACACGTGTCACCACGTAATTAGTCAAAAAATAAAAAAAAGATTTTTTTTTTAAAAAAACCCCAACCCGCCAATCCCTCCCCAGCCAACCCCATTCTCCGGCAGCCTCCTCCCCACCCCCATACTCCGTCAGCAATGTTTAGTCACTTTAGAAAAAATAAAAATAATAAAAACCCCAACCCACCCCATTGCCCCCTACCCAAACATCCACTGCCCAACCGCCTTCCCAAACCCCCACCGCCACCCAACTTCCCACACCCACCACCATTAGTTAGTAGAATGCTATTAAAAAGTAGAGAGAATATTATTAAAAAAATAAAGAGAAGTTATTTTTTTTAAAAAAAAAAACGTTCCATTTATTTAAATACACTAGTAGAAAAAAAGAAATAGGCAACCCCCTATGGCAACGGTTTATGAAAACCGTTGCCAACTTAAATGAGCCCCATTTTAAATTTCAGAGTTGGCAACAGTTAACCGTTGCCAATTGAGTATTTTTTTTTTTTTAAAAAAAAATAGTTAGAGTTGGCAACGGTTAACCGTTGCCAATTAAAAAAAAAAATTAAAATGTTAAGTGTTGGCAACGGTTAACCGTTGCCAATTTTTTTTTTTAAAAAAACCCGGGTATACTGCTTCATTCAATTCCAACGTCTCTTCATTCAATTCGTCCCCTCTTCTCTTCTCTGTTTCGTCCCTCTTCTCTTCGTCCCTCTTCATTGCTTCCCTCTTCTTGCCATTCCATTGGAGCACCCGACGCAGCTGCCGCCATACGCACCACCAATTCCATACGCAATTGCCGCCCTTCCATTAAAGCATCTTCGAGGTAAGCTACCTAGTATACCTAGGTTTCAATTACTCCATTGAATTCTTTCACATTCATGCCTTTTTTTGAGGATTTGTTTTGCATTTTAGTAATTGTAATTAGTATGTTGAAATATAGGGTTTCTCAACTACAAGCGCACGTACGGCCCCCCTCCACAACGACCCTCCATCCACATATATACTTGGGTATAGAAAATGTAAGTGATTTTAGTGAATAAGGCTGTGTTAAGCCGTATTTGCAAGTTATGTTTCAATATGTGTACGACAGTCCAACATGCCTACTGGGTTTTATTCCCTGACTGCAATTTGGGCTATCTCCTTGTTCTGCTAGGTTCAAGGGGGATTAGAACTCTCAGACAATGTTTAAGTATAGTTTGATTTTGGAGTATTTGATATGCATCGATGCAAGTTCCCTTTTCCATGTTAACCACTTGTATTTTATCTAATGCAATTATGGTTTTTCCTGTGAAAAAGTTTGCTTAGGTTTGAGCTGTGCTGTTTTTCTGATGGCTCGGTTATGCCTTTATGCTAAACGTGCTGTTTTTTGTAGCTGTTGTTTTTGTCCAGCTGTTGTCTTGGTTGTGGGCTGTTTGGCTGGTGTTTGGTTTTGTTTTATTCTTGTTTTGGGTGTTTTTAATGTCCTAGTCCTTGGTCGAAGTACCCTTCCTATAAGGTCCCTTCTTGTTTGAGGCTAGGTAGTGCCCCTCAATGTTGAGGCTAGGAGTATTGAAATTCTCCATTGATGATGTTCCTATGGGGAATATGTCCCAAGTTTTGGTTATTTGTTGCCCTAATTAATATAGAAATTGTTTGAAGTAGCTTATATTTGTCCTTTTTGTGTTTTACCTTTTGTGGTTGGTGTGGTTTGTTGCCCCATTTTCTCTCTAGTTCCTTAATTATATATATGACCCTATCTTTTCTTATTATCCATTTCTCATACTTACTAACTTTTGTTTTTTTTTTGTTTTTTCTTTTTGCGTTTTTATAGATTCATATGTGATTTGAAGTTCAAGTTTAAGCTTGAAGACTACATATATACCTCAAGTGCGAAGTTAAAAAGAATACATTATCCATTGTATTGGTATGAATTATAAACTTCTCTAATAAGCTATATATATATCTATCTCTTTATTGTCTTAATAAAAGTGTTTTCATGACAAACTAAATACAACAATAAATATATGAAATGTTTGCATTGCATCATCATATGCCTAGATACCCGTTCAAGGATTTCTCATTAGGAGAAAGTCTTGAATAGTCCCCGGTTGGGACTGTTCTTTTGAACGTTTACTCTCACTTAGGTGGTGAATGTATGTCTTTTTTTTCGATTTTAAGGAACATCTTGGCTTACCATTTCCTCGATCACCATGTTCTCTGGGTACATATGTGGGAAAGTAATTACCTACGTCGTGTACTTGGAGAACTGGGGGGAAATGCTGCCGGATTTTCCTTAAAATTGGAAAGTTGACATACATTCACTAGTGAGAGTAAACGTTCAAGGATGGGTTAGGTTGGAGTGATAAGGACCCTTTGGAAGCATATATTCATTTGTGTATGTATATGAAAGTTATATGCATGTTGTGTGTTTGAATTTGATTTATATATATAGTAGATGTAGCAATTATACATTATTATTCGTAATATGTTGCCATGTTTAGAGACAATTTACTTAATGGAGAAGGATCGTGGATGGATGTATGGTAGACGTGATACATTAGAATTCTTTAATGGGGTTCAAGAGTTTTGCGAGAAGGCTTCATCTTATCAGCGCAGAATGGGTTTCGAGTGCCTCTATTGTCCTTGTGTTGATTGTAATAATGTGAAGGTGGTCAATAGTGTTGATATCATTAGAGATCATGTAGTTTGTCATGGGTTTAGGGTTAAATATCATGTGTGGATTTGGCATGGTGAAGAAGGAGAGTACAGTGGGGATGTTATTGGGTATGATGTGCATGATGATAGAAGCAATGATATCCGTGTGGACGAGGAATACAAGAATGATGAACAATTTGTTGATGATGGTGCTGAGGAGGGATTTGAGGATGATCATGTGGATGAGGTTGAGGATGAAGGTGTGGATGAGATGATGCGTGGTTTTGAAGGTGACGTGTTTGAGTCATTATCGGAGGCTTCTAAAAAGCCTTTGTATCCTGGGTGCAAAAAATACTCCAAACTATCAGCCGTGCTTACTCTTTTTAACATTAAGTCGAAGCATGGGTGGACGAACAGTAGTTTTACTTCCTTGTTGAGCGTGTTAAGTGAGATGTTGCCCGATGGGAATGAAATTCCTAAGTCTTACTATTACGCTAAGAAGCTCATGTGTCCATTTGGTTTGGAGTATAAGAAGATACATGCATGTCCTAATGATTGTATTCTTTACCGAAATGAATATGAACAATTGGAGGAGTGTCTAAGATGCAAGAAGTCGCGCTACAAGCGCAAGAGTTGCAATGCTGGCACGAAGGGACCTCCTGCTAAGGTGTTGTGGTATCTTCCCATAATTCCAAGGTTTAAACGTCTGTTTTCTTTACCAAAAGACGCTAAAAACTTGAGGTGGCATGCAGAGGGAAGAAAGAAAAACAAAATGCTGAAGCACCCAGCCGACTCCCCGCAATGGAAGAACCTTGATATAAAGTTTGGGGAATTTGGTGATGAAGTCAGAAATTTAAGGCTTGGTTTGTGCACGGTCGGGATGAATCCATTTGGCACTCTTAGTACCCAGCACAGCACATGGCCGGTACTTTTAGTGATCAACAATTTGCCTCCTTGGTTGTGCATGAAACGAAAATATGTAATGCTTTCACTCTTGATATCGGGGCCAAGGCAACCTGGAAACGACATAGATGTGTATCTTGCGCCATTGGTTGATGATTTGAGAAAGATGTGGGACGAAGGGGTTTCCGTGTTTGATGCTCATAAGAATGAGATGTTCACATTGCGTGCAGCTCTTATGTGGACCGTTAATGATTTTCCTGCATATGGCAACTTGTCTGGGTTTAAGAATAAAGGGAAAAAGGCATGTCCCATTTGTATTGATGATACGCCAAGCAGACGCCTTGATCATTCTTTCAAACAGGTGTATTTGAGGACAAGAAGGCTGCTCAGGCGCGATCACCCGTACCGTCGACAGAAAAAGGCTTTCGATGGGACGGTGGAAGAGGGGACTGCTCCTAGGCCACTTACTGGTGAGGAGGTTTACGCTCGGGTTAAGGGTGTACGAACAATATTTGGGAAATCTGAAAAAGTGGCGGAATCAATTGCTCTCTTTAAAAAAGAATCAATCTTTTGGTTGCTCCCGTACTGGAAAGAACATGACGTTAGGCACTGTCTTGATGTAATGCATATAGAGAAGAATGTGTGTGACGCTCTTGTGGGAACGCTGATGAATATTCAAAACAAGACAAAGGACGGAAAGGGTGCACGTTTAGATCTGGAAAAGATGGGGGTGCATCCAGAATTGTGGATTCAGCAAAGGGTTAGTAAGGGGAAGGAACAGGAAAAGGAAAAAGAAATGGGTTCGAAAAAGGGAAAGGGGAAGAGCAAGGGAAAGGGAAAGGCCGCGGATGCGTCGAAGAAGAAAAATGAGGGAACAACCAAAGAGGGGAAGGCCTATTTACCTCCGGCTTGCTACACATTGTCAAGGGTAGAAAAACAGAGGTTTTGTGAATGTCTGTATGACATTAAGGTTCCATTAGGGTACGCATCTAACATGAAAAGATTTGTATCCTTAAATGGAGAATTGAAGCTGACAAGTATGAAATCCCATGATTGTCATGTTCTGATGCAAGTTTTTCTACCAATTGCAATACGTGGTATTTTGCCAAAGCACGTGAGGGAAGCTATTACAAGCCTCTGTTCGTTTTTCAATACAATATGTAGCAAAGTGCTTGATCCTTGTACCCTTGATGCTTTACAGGCGGATGTGGTTGTGACTTTGTGCAAATTTGAGATGTACTTCCAGCCCTCGTTTTTCGACATAATGGTGCATTTGATTCTTCATTTGGTGCGTGAGATTAAGTTGTGCGGTCCAGTGTTCTTGAGGTGGTGCTATCCTTTTGAAAGACACATGGGTACATTGCAAGATAAAGTTAGGAATCGGGCTCACCCGGAAGGAAGTATGATTTAAGGGACCGTGGCCGAGGAGATTGGTAATTTTGTGGCCGACTATGTAGCCGTTGCTGAACCTATTGGTATTCCTACTTCTCGAAATGAAGGTAGACTTGATGGTCATGGCACAATCGGGTCGAAACGAATGTCACCTGATCGAGAGAAGTTCTTACAAGCACACCTTTATGTGTTGCACCATGTTGCAGATGTTCACCCATATTTAGACGAGCACATGGCTAGTTTTGCGTGATGAGTTTCCGTCGAAAGGTGAAAGGGCACTGATGCAGTTGCACAATAAGAAGTTTGTGAGTTGGTTTTGTGATCGAGTGAT